TTTGTGTGTGTGTGTGTGTGTGTGTGTGTGTGTGTGTGTGTGTGTGTATACACATATATATATATTGACGCGGTTGTGCAGCCAGTCACCAGGACTTTGCAGAATCAAAACAAATACCCATTAACCAATGTTCTTACAGTTCTTTTTGCCCTACTTAGTCCCTGGCAAACTCAGGTAGGTCTACCATGTTCTGTGAAGTTTGGTTACCGTAAGCGTAGTGACAAGCCCATTCTGTAGTTAGTTATCTTGACATATCTAGATAGCTAAAGGACTTCAATAGTTCAAAAGGCTGTAAGTCTTTCAATTGCCAAGGGTGGGCACTCGGGGAGGCAGAGGCAGGAGGATCTCTCAGAGTTTGAGGCCAGCCTGGTCTACAAAGTTGAGGCCAGGACAGCCAGGGCTACACAAAGAAACCCTGTCTCAAAAAAATCAAAAAATAAATAAATAGTCTTTTAATCTTTAAAAATTCATTTTTTTGGAGGCTGGAGAGAGGGCTCAGGTTAGGAGCACTGGCTCTTCTTCCAGAGGTCCTGAGTTCAATTCCCAGCAACCACATGGTGGCTCATTACCATCTATAATGAGATCTGATGCCCTCTTCTGGCATTTAAGTCCACATGCAGGCAGAATACTGTATAAATAATGAATAAATCTTTTTTTTTTTTAAAGTGGTTTAAAAATTCAGTTTCTTTGTATTCTCTGACTTTATAAACTTTTTTTTTTTTTTTACATCTTACAGGGACACCTTCTACTTTTAGAAAATAATAGAAACTCCATTTTGAGCTTGTTGTTTTTACTGACATATCTTGGGGTGTTTCCAGTACCTGCAGCTTGTCCTTGTCCTCTCTAATGGTTGAATATTATTGTTGAAGACCATCATTTACTTTACTTAACCTGTTCCTTGTTTTTGGATACTAAATCATTTTTAGTTGTTCTGCTATCTTTTTGTTGGTACTATTTTTATTGCATTTTTGCCTACACTGTTATTCTTTGTTTTAACTACAGTCCTTCCTGGCTGTCTTTGAACTTTTTATGTAGACCAGGCTGGCCTTGAACCCACAGAGTTCTGCCAGCCTTTGCCTCCCAGGTGCTGGGATTAAAGGTCTGTGCCAGCATGCCTGGCTTCATTATCCTTCTTCTATGTGTGAATGTACCATCTAAGATAAATTCTTGAAAGTGAAATTGCTGGGTCAAAGAGAATATTTTAAAATTTGATATTACAAGACAGGTGTTCACCACCAAAAGAATTGCACAGTCCTTCTGTGTGATCAAAAGGATTGGTATGAATCCAGTCTAGCCCATCTCAGGTTATAAAGTTTGAAAAACCAAATACCCAAGAATAGCCAGGAAAAAAAAAAAAAAAAAACAAATGAGGCGAGTTGGCTTTACCAGATATTAAAATAGTTTATAAAACTAGAGAAATTAAAATAGTTCTAATACATGATTAGACAGACTAAGTAAATAAAGTATTTGATAACACTAATCCAGAGGGGGTGGACCAACAACGCTTCATCATAGTTAAATTTTGTATTTATTTTTTCACTAGTGAAGTGAGACAGTTTAACTTCCAGAAGACATTTGGCAGAATCTGAGAAGATTGTGAGTGTTAGAGTGGAAAGGAGAAGCTAGTTGCTAGGTGACTGGAGCCACTAGATGGATGTAAACTACCTAGAAGCAATAAGCAGCCCCTGATAGCAGAATTTTCCAGTCCAAAATGTCAGCTGAGCAAAAACTGAGAAAGTATGGTTTAAAGCCATCTCTGTATCTTTTTCTTTATCTGGTTTAACCAATGAGGTCTTTTTGTCATTGTGTTGTGAAGCCTGGGACAGAATCCAGGGCCCCATGCATGGTAGGTTAGCGCTTTTTCAGTCCCTCAGCCCCAGCAGAGCTGTTTTGATTGATCTCCGAGAACCTGGGTATTTATTTGAGAAGTTTTATACTTTATCATATGTCACAAGTATTTTGGGGATTTTCTTATAGCACTTGCTTTTGACTATGGTACTTATTGAACACGAATAAATATGCTTTTACAAAGTCAAAATTATTCTGTTCTTTGAAGCTGTTTTGTTTTTGGGATATGCCTGTAAGACAACACTAAACTAACTTTTATTTAAGGTGGTATTCTAATATCTTATAGTCTTACATTGTCTTTTTAATTTTAATTTTATGTACATTTGTGTTTCCCTTTATGTATGTCTGTGTGAGGGTGTCAGATTCCCTGGAGTTACAGATAGTTGTGAGTTGCCACATTGGCGCTGGGAATTGACTACATGTCCTCTGGAAGAGCAGTCCTTGCTCATAACCTCTGAGGCATCTCCTAAATGCTGTCTTACACTGCCTTATTTACTTACTTTGTGATGCTGGGGATGAAACTCAAGGAGTCACATGCTTTAGACAAGTTCTACTGAGCTAACCCTCCGCCCTTATTTCTATACTTTTAATAAACATTTCATCTTTCCTTTTCTTTTTTTGAAACAGGGTTTCTCTGTATAGCCTTGGCTGTCCTGGACTCAATTTGTAGACCAGGCTGGCCTCAAACTCACAGCGATCTGCCTGCCTCTGCCTTCTTGAGTGCTGGGATTACAGGCGTGTGCCACCGCGGCCGACTATTTCATATTTTATGACAAGCATATGTAGTATACTCATCTTTTCTCACCCACCTGAGGTTTATTTTGGCTCAGGAAGTAGGTTAGGAAGCCACTTTGTTTTGTTTCAGATGGCTTTCTCAGTCAGGCAAACTGACCTATCATGCGTTCTTTCTTCCTCCTAGTGCACTTTTACCACGAGGAAGCACTTGCATGCACGGGGTCTGTTTCTAGGCTCTATCCTCTGTTACCTAGTCTGTCTATCCAGGTATTAGACTCAAATATAAATTACTCTTTTAAAATCTGGAAAAGCCAATTCTTCTCATTTGGATTATGTCTTAGAATCTTTCTGGCTGTTCAACTTTAGAACTTGAGATTTGCTAGTATATATATTTTTAAAGAAGTCATTATTATTTTTTTAATGGTTAAAAATTTTATCACATTTACAGTAATTTTGAGAGATTCTTAGTAAATTAAAGTTTGAGTTGTGTCTGCATCTGCACATTCTAGTTACTTGCTAATGACATTAATAAGAATGCCCTTGCTGCTTGCATTCTGACCCTAATGTTCTGCAGTTAGAGGACCTTCTTAGTGGGACAGGGCTGGCTGCCTTTGCCCTTCCTGCTGCCGATGCCCCGGACTCCGATGACAAAGCATGCTCTTTATTCTACTAGGATCCAGTCCAGCTGTGTTCCAGGCAAAGGGACAAGCCTTGTAAATCGAGAGTTTGCAGACATTTTCTTGTGAATACTTAACATTAAACAGCTCTTTATTTGTGTTTTTTCTTATTTTTTTATTTTGTGTGTGCATCATGAGTGGTTGGTGCCCGTGGGGGTTATAAAAGGATGTTGGGGTCCCTGGAGCTAGAGTAATGGCTGGTAATGAACTGCCTGATGGGTGCTCAGTATTGAACTATGATCCTCTGTAAGAGCACTGAAGTTCTCTTAACCTCTGAGCCATCCCTCTAGCCTCTAAACAGCTCTTTAGTAGTGTGTGTGTTTGTGTTTATGTGTGTGTGTCTGTCTGTCTGTATGTATGTATTTGATACAGGGTCTCACAGTGTAGTCCTGGCTGGCCTGGAACTCAATATGTAGGCTGGCCTCAAACGCACAAAAGATTTCTCCTGTGGTGTGCACTACCACAGCTAGCTTCTTTTGTGAGTGTGAGGTATGGAATTCAGATCTTCAAGCTTGTGTGTTCTGTCTTATTAACAGAGGAACAGATGGGCTCTTTCTTCCTTTTGACATGGGAGCCTGGAAATTCTTTGTATGTTTTCTAACCTGGCTACCAGGTCTTTGTCCTCATTTAGAGGATTCATGCCTCTATCAGTACCCAGATTTTATTATTTAAATTCTCAGTTGTTGGGATTTCTCTCTCCCTCTCTCTTCCTTTCTTTCCCTCTCCTGCCCTCTCTTTTCCCCATCTTTCCTCCAGGGTCCTCTTTCTCTTTCTCTGTCTTTCTTTCAGGTAAAGTCTCTAATCCAGGTTGACCTGGAACTTAATTGTATATCCCAGGCTGACCTTGAATTTTTGGTAATTCTTTGCCTTCACTTTCCAAGATCAAGGATTCCAAGTGTGTATAGCCATACCCAGCTTGGGATTTCTATTGTCACATGTCTAACCTCACCGTTTGTTTTTTGTTTTCCCTTGTGGCACTAAGTTTCAAACACCCAGGACCTCTTACATACTAATGCATGTCCTGTACTATTGACCTATGCCCCAGCCTTCTAATTTAGCCTCTAAAAACATCTGTTTGTTTTTTGTTTTTGAGGTGGTGGTCTCACTGCGTAGCTCTGGCTACCTTGGAACTTGCTATGTAGACCAGGCTGGCCTCAAATTTACGGAGACCTACCTTCCTCTGCCCCTGCCTCTCCAGTCCTGCTACTAAAGGCAGGCACTACTATGTTTGACAACCTTTGGTGGTTCACTCTTTTACCTGGGAACACTTCGCTTGACTAAAGTAAATGCCGTGTAAAAAGGGGAAAAAAAGCTTGTGTATTGGACTGAGATAGACAATGCTGTC